CCTCCCCTCCCCGCCTTGCGCTCTGCAATCCGATCCCTCTCTCCTGCCTCTCCGCCGCCCGCCCTCCGTCCCCCGCAATCCCGACGCCCCACAAACCCCACCTCTTGGAGGGGGAGGCCCCGGGGCCCCCCCTCCCCGCCTTGCGCTCTGCAATCCGATCCCTCTCTCCTGCCTCTCCGCCGCCCGCCCTCCGTCCCCCGCAATCCCGACGCCCCACAAACCCCACCTCTTGGAGGGGGAGGGAAGGGGGCGGGGAAAGAGGGGGGTGTCGGAACGAGTAGGGCGAAGTGGGATCGTCCGAGGCGCAGATCGGGAAGAGAGAGAGAGCGAGGGGAGGCGGAGAGGAGCCGTCCGGAACGAGCCAGCCGGAGCTGAAATCCAGCGCTGCGGAGGAGACGGGAAGGGGGGCGAGATCTCCACGCTGCTTTGGGACACGTGTAAACCGGACAGGTCGGGTCGGCTGGGAAGGATCCATCCGGATTTCTGTTCTCCGCCACTTCTTAAGGCCGCATTGAGCCGCCTGGGCTGCCCCCGGGGGGGGCAGGAGGCAAGAAACCGTCGGTCGCAGGAAGACTTGAGAAACAGCCATCATCCTGCCTGCTGCCATCGCCAGCTCGAGGTTTCTCTTTTTGCTGCAGTAAGTTGGCCGGAGGGTGATGGGACGGTGAAAAAAAGCGACCCCCGGGGGCTGGGGGGGGAGAGAAAGAGGAGAAGAGAGGAGATCCTCGGCTCCCCTCGCTGGCCTCGGCGTCCCCCCCTTCCTTTGACCCTCCTCCGCCGGTGGAAATTGACTTCTGCGAACTTGGCCAAGAACTTGGACCACCCGAGCGAAGTTGGATGGTGTGTCGTGGGCGCGGGGGCTGGGATCGGGGGCCATGGTGCCGCCGCCCCCCGCGCAGCCCCTAGAGTCGGTCCCCTTCTGGGGCAGCTCCTGGAGAAAGTTGGGAGGAGAAGAAGCCACGGGGCGCTGGATCTGACCCTGCTCCCTGATCTCGCCGCCGACCGCCTGGCCAGGTCTTGCCCTGGGTTTCCAAAGGATCCGGAGCCCTATAGCGTGGTGGCTTTGGCCTCCCAAGGGTGCGACCCAACATGGGTGCTGCTCCGAGGAACGCCGGCCCGGTGGCGGGGATCCTGCTGCAGCTGGTCTGCTCCTGCTTGGGGATCAGCTCCATCGACATTGACCGGCCGGGGGACGGGAGGTGCCAGCCCATCGAGATCCCCATGTGCAAGGACATCGGCTACAACATGACCCGGATGCCCAACCTCATGGGCCACGAGGACCAGCGCGAGGCGGCCATCCAGCTCCACGAGTTCGCCCCCTTGGTGGAGTACGGCTGCCACGGCCACCTCAAGTTCTTCCTCTGCTCCTTGTACGCCCCCATGTGCACCGAGCAGGTCTCGACCCCCATCCCGGCCTGCCGGGTCATGTGCGAGCAAGCCCGGCTCAAGTGCTCGCCCATCATGGAGCAGTTCACCTTCCGCTGGCCGGACTCCCTGGACTGCCGGAAGCTGCCCAACAAAAACGACCCCAACTACCTCTGCATGGAGGCCCCCAACAACGGGTCCGAGGAGCCCCCCCGGGGGTCCAGCATGCTGCCCCCCATGTTCCGGCCCCAGAGGCCTCCCAGCGCCGGCCACGACCTCCCACCCCACCCCTGGGACGGACCGGGACGGGCCGCCTGCGAGAACCCGGGCAAGTTCCACCACGTAGAGAAGAGCGCTTCTTGCGCGCCGCTCTGCACCCCCGGGGTGGACGTCTACTGGAGCCGAGAGGACAAGAAGTTCGCCGTGGTCTGGATCGCCGTCTGGTCCGTCCTCTGCTTCTTCTCCAGCGCCTTCACCGTCCTC